CCCCAATCCCTTACCACTATCCCTTAAAAATACCTATTCGGCACAGCTCTCGCAGAAAACCTGATGCAGAAATCTTATAGTCCGGTCTAGGTGTGCCCAAGCCAATTAATTTTAAATCCTTAGGAATTAATCAGATTAAAATGTACAGAAGTTTCATTCTCGTATGCATACGTGAGCCAAAAGTCGTTTCCCTTTAAGAGATCCTTTTCTTTTAAAGTTGAATTTTAGGCAGATAAGAGACTTACACTAGGGGGCAGCCAGATACTGTACTTGCTCCAATCTTAAGCAATTTTTTTTCCTCTCTCACAGCATATGCTCTGATTTAGCACTGTAAATTTTTCAGAGGACCCAACTCTGACAGCCCCTGGTGATTTTCAAAGTACCACAAGCCAGTGGTTAAAAATTGCATTGACTTGGAAGTTCAGAGGCACACAATAGGAGCCACTTTCCCTATTCATGGAACTTCAGTGTGGTGGAAGAGAAAAACACACACATACTACATTGAGGGAGAAGAGGAATTCATTGAATTCTGTTAGACGTAACTGCTTTCCACTGAGTTCAGAGCGAAACTCGGTATTTGTTCGATGCTGTATTCATATTGCGATTTAATCTAGAAAGAATTRGAGGACTGTTAGGCAGCTTTCTGCCAGGAAAGCAGCTTCCCCCTCCTTCCTCCTCTCTTTTTGAAACCTAAAGATTTACACCGGCTCTATCCCCAACTCTATTTTAGCAAAATAAATCCTTCYACTCCCTCTCATTAAAATAAATTTACATCTGCAGTAAAATGGCAGGAGGGATGCGTTTGTTTATTTGGAAAACCAACACGGTCTCACTTTTAAACCAGAGCATTTCTATTGTCATTAGCCTCGGAGAAGGACAGTGGAGAATCTCCCCCTTCCTTGCGAGGCGCTCAGGTTTCGAGGATTATTTAGCGAAATTAGCTGCAGTTCATTTTTACATTCATCTGTTCTGTCTCAACCCACTCGCAGGGGTGTTTTCAAATAAATAGCAAAGCATCTAATGGTGCTAATAGATAGTTATATCGCTGCATCCCTCGAAGAGCAAATAGTTAATCTGGGGCATTCTTCATTAATGCTTGAGCAATCAGCGTATACGGCGGCTTTTAAGCGTATATCAATGGCTTTCCATTTTTACGATCATACGTTCAAACTATTAATATTGTGCGTCCTGTTAAAACCGCTTTCTCTTCTGATTTCTGCATTTGTTAGGACGGCGTTTATGTTTTTTCATATGGTGAATTAATCCTGTTTACTTTGTCAGATTCGAGACAGGAAAGGTTGGTGTTGGGTTGTGGTTTGGGTTTTGGCTTTTTTTTYTTCCTCAGGAAATTCAACATCAGCAACAATCTGTGACTATTCTGTATTTTGAACCCCCACCTTCTCCTACCCTCCCCGAAAGGTGACCTCCTCAGCCCTGGGTTATTTGGAAATCATAAGGCAGCTCCCCACATTTTATCCAGGAAAGATTCCTTTCCCCATTTCTGTCTTCCCATCCCCTCCTGGTCCCTGTTTCGGGTAAAGGTTATATTTTGCTCCGTGAGGATCAATGGGAACGCTGCAGCTTTGTCTTTGAAACTGAGCCGCAAAAACATCTTCGCCCGTGGGSTCTGAACACACCAGATTTCCTGGCAGGACACTCTCAAGTCGAGGTGCTTTTTACAACTTTCCAACCATCTCCGCACCTGCGGCTTTAGTATTATTTCTGCKGGCAGGAGTGGGTGGGCATGAGGCAACATGAAAAAAAAAAACCATGTGTGTGAGGAGGTGAGGGGCAATGAATCCCTTACAGAGTTGTGCCCAGGTCTGTGTCCCCGCGGCCGTGCTTGGTGACCGGCTCAGATGTGAGCGCTCATACACGCGTGTGTTCGCAGAGGAGGAATGGTCCGGCCGGGCGTTTATCTGGCTATGTTAACATGTTTTCTATTTYATCCCTCCGTCCCTTCGCTTGTTCGAGTGTCTTTTGGCCATTTTCACCGGGAGACGGACTCGAGTCCCCGCTCCGCTGGCCGGTAGCTCCATTCAGYGGGAAATAAACGCGTCCCCGTGCTTAACTCTGTTACCTGCTCGTGGTACAGCACGGAGGAAGTGTTACAGTGTCAGGGTACGTGTGGTCACGAAAGCCCCGAACCCGCAAAACCCCGAAATAAAGTTAAAGGGGTTCGGAGGAGCTGCGCCGTAGCGATGCCGAGCGAAAGGCGCGGGTGTCACGCTCTGCGGAGCGGCGTGCCGGGCTCTGGCGGTGTCTGCAGCGGAGCCGCCGT